CTTTCTTCGTGAAGTAGTCGATGGTGATTAGTACAAACCAATGACCTTTCACATTCTTTGAGATTGGATCAGCAATAGATAGGGCTATTCTTGATAGAATAGATCCAACATATCCCTGTTGGGTTTTACCTTGCCTTGACAGATTATTTTCTTGGGGACACATACTGTACAGTATTTACAATATCACTGAATATCTCAACTCAATTTCAACCAAAACAATCACCACTGAATGTTAGCTCAAGTTCAGATAAAACGTCAGTATCCTCCAGTTTTTGTGTTATGTCAAGTTTGGAGAACCTCTTTCCATAGAGCTCTGCAACACAATCTGAGAACCATAGCTCAGTGATTAAAAGTGATGATACAGAACTCCTTAGTGCAATTGTAACTGACCATAAAAGTACAACAGCCTAGGCGCATTTCTCTATTTGTGCTGGCTGAGCTTTGCTCTGCTGTGTGGCATGGAGTGCTCATAATAGATCTGAGACCTTCTGTTTTTCTTTCATGAGGTTTTGAAGTTTTAATTGTGGCATCCATCCACTACCAAAATCTCCTACTACATAGTTTGATGCTGCTATACCAGAAATGGTTTCAATTCCAACACAGTGTAAAGGATTAGGACATACAATGAATGGACAGGATCTCACCTTATAGTAAAACAATCCATCTGCATTTCCATTTTGAGGATCCGAGTTATGCACTATTAAATAAAGTTTCTTTCACTACCCATTCAAACAATCTCCGAATTTTACTAACCCTAAGGGGCTCACACCAGCACCACAACAACAACAGCAAAATTATTAGAACATCCGCACATGTGCAAAGTTTGGTACAGCTAGCTTTTAAGTGGGGGTATGAACATATTGCACCATGTTGTCCCGATGGAGCCCGGAAACAAAAACGCGGATGCCAATTTCACGTTAAGATACTTTGATAACCTACCCTTAGATACCATCATGCCTGGGTGATCTTCCAAGGAGCATTTTTATCCCCTTAGTATTCCATTGGTAGGGGGATGTGCCATATAGATGAAGACATCCCCCAGGCCACACCAAGTACATCTGTCATGTTTAATCCTGATGGCTTCAGTCCTATGAAAGAAGCAAGCTCGATAATCATACATAAATAGAAAGTTAAAAGTTTAATTAATATTGCATGTTTTGTACATTTTTGGTATAATACTTTCAGTGACAATTCTTGGAATTCCAGGTTGGTTAACGAAGTATTTATAAGTGGGTGTAGTAACTGCCATTTCTATACCATGTGGAAACTTGATTGGCCAACCAGTTCAACCCAGTTTATTCTTTATATGACATTCAATGTTACATGCAAAAGTTAACCTAAGAATCAACACAATTTGCTTATTTTCTCAAATTTCTCGTTTAATGTTAAACTTATCCTCAAAATTAGCCACAAAGAAATATATTCAAATTTAGCCATTAAAAAGAAACTTAGGTTCGTTTCAATAATAGAGAGGCCCGGCATGGCAAGGTGGTTAGGACACTCGACTCGCAATCTGTGGGTCGCGGGTTCGAATCCCAGACAACCCAACATGCTCGCCCTTTCAGCCGTGGGGGCGTTATAATGTGACGGTCAATCTCACTATTCGTTGGTAAAAGAGTTGCCCAAGAGTTGGCAGTCGGTGATGATGACTAGCTGCCTTCCCTCTAGTCTTACACTGTTAAATTAGGGACGGCTAGCACAGATAGCCCTCGTGTAGCTTTGTGCGAAGTTCAAAACAACAACAAATATAATAGAGCCTAAGACCTGTACAATATTACAGAATCTTGCAGAGTGG